ATTTCGCTTTGTTGCTGATAGGTTAAGCTTTCGAAACTCTGCCCCAAAGTCATGTGACTGATTTTTTCGCCTTGTTTCATTGGTGAAATGCAATGATCACAAGCACCACCATGGTAACTGGGATGTGTAGTTTTTAATTCCGTTTGAATTATAACTGTACGTACTGTCTTCATATTTGGCCAGGGCTTTAAAGAGAAGGCGCGCCAAAACATTTCAGTGCCATCGTCTCCACTTTAAAGGTACCCCTGTGCTGGAAGAATTTGACCTTGGAACGTTTGCCCAGCGTACTGTAAGTAGTTTCATTATCATGTTGAATAAGGCCAAGCACTGTTGTATCATCCCCAAATTAGTATATTATGTTATTGTCATACAGTAGGTGGAATTGCAGTCATGTTTGTATAATGGTAATAATAATTGCTTACACTTATATAGCGCTTTTCTGGATACTTCACTCAAAGCGCTTTACAGGTATTGGGGACTCCACCTGGATGATGCGACAGCAGCAATAGTGCACCAGATCACTCACCACACACCAGCTCTCAGTGGGGAAGAATTCATAGATGGGGATTATTAGGAGGCCATGATTGGTAAGGGCCTATGGGAAATTTGGCTAGGACACCAGAGTTTCAAGAAACACTCTGGGATTTTTAATGATCTCATCCGAAGGACGGTGCCTGTTTACAGTATAGTGTCCCCATCACTATACCAGGGCGTTAGGACCCACATAGACTGCAGGGTGAGTGCCCCCTACTGGCCCCACTAACACCTTTTCCAGCAACAACGTTAGTTTTTTCCAGGAGGTCTCCCATCCAGGTACTGGCTAGGCTCACACCTGCTTAGCTTGAGTGGGTTGCCAGTTGTGAGTTGCAGAGTGATATAGCTGCTGGCTGAGACAAATGAGAAAAGTGTTGGGCTTAGGCAACAGCCTGGGGTTGTACCTGTGCTTAAGGTAATCGGGGAAGAGATATTTCGACCTATCTTCACTACTTGTGGTCTAATTGTCAAAAAGTCTAGTATCCAATTGCACAGAGAATTAGGCAGGCCAAGCCCAGTGAGTTTCAACACTAGCTTGGTGGGCCTTATGGTGTAAAAAGCTGAGCTATAGTATAAAAACAACATACGAATGTAAGTGTTGTGTTTTTCCAGGTGCTGGAGAGCAGTGTGTAAAATGATAGCTACTGCACCATCCAAAGACCTATTTAGACGATATGCAAACTGCAGAGGGTTGGGAATATTATTCTTGATAAATCTCAATAGTTTCTCCAGGCATTTCGTAGCTACAGATGTAAGAGCTATGGAATGGTAGTCGTTCAGGCAAGTCACCCTAGATCTTTTAGGAATTGGAGTGATAGAACTTTTAAAACAATGTGGAACAATAGCCTGTGACAATGAGGTATTAAATATGTCTGTGTAGACATCAGCCAATTGCATGGCACTGGCCTTCAGAACTCTGGTGGGGACTCTATCAGGTCCAGCAGCTTTGTAGGGGCTTACCGATTGTAGGGCTCTACATACCTCTGACCTGGTAACCTGATAGACAATTTAACAATAAACATTTCATCTCTTAACAATTTATTGCTCATTATTGTGTTAACTGTGACTGATTGAACAAGTTCTATCAGCTCTTCATGGATATATGAACATGACAGCCCTCCAGGACTGTATTTAACAGCCCTCATCTAATTCTTCTGGCTCCACATTGGGAGATACAGTGTGATGTGGGTTTCATGCTGTGTTTAAAAATACTTTTTGCTCCAGAGTTTCCCTCCATGGTTTATTAAATTCTAAAACATAGAAATAAAATCATGACAGTCTTAGAGTGACTGGAAAGCATCACAGTGCAGTGAGAAGGGAGAGAGCTTTGCACGCTGAACGTCACAATTATCTGCTGCTTGGGTCCAGCTGCAAGTGAGACAACTGGGGAGAACTGTGTTCGTCCCAGCTACAGCTTCTATACAGAACATACTAGGATATTCAGTATGCTAACAAAAGAAAGTCCAAATTGTTTTCTTTTGTTGCGCAGGCAGAAATAAAAGTGGGTTTGTAAACATAAGATTTCCCCTGTTGCAGAAAGAATATCTTGGGCAGAATTCTGTACTTTGCTTGTTCACTCTCTGTAAAAATAAATTAAATGGTTGGAGTTTGAGGATATTAGAGATCACTTGCATGTGCAATATTTTGTGAAACAATTTAAAAATGTTGCTTATAATGTCACAATTTTATTTTAAGCTGTTGTAACTGCAGTGAAACCCAGGTGCTGGCTTCTCAGAGTTCTACTAAGAGGTTTTAACTTCTTCACACCCTCCAGCTGGAAATAGTGCTATCTGCCTCGGGCATCACTCTGTATCTCTTCCACCCGTAAAGCATTAAACAATTATTCTAATTGAACCACAAAGCCCAGGATCAACTGCCTGATCTTGTGTTCCATTAAATTAACCCATAGGTTTTGCTCTCTTCCATCAGTTCCTTGAGGTTTTAGCCCTGTAGCCTTACAAAGCTGAAACTGCAAGAAAACTACTATTTCTTGAGTCAAAGAAATATGGCTACTCTATCACCAGAGGGCAGAATTAAAATTTGGAGCTACAATGTTCGTAATGGGTACCTGTTTGTGTTTCCAATGGTCATCTTTCAGTAATGAAAGCATTCTTGGAAAATAATTTTACTTACATGTGTCTTTCACTAGTCTGCAGTACAATATGAAATCCCCCAACCCTCCCTCATAATTATGGCCCCAGATCAGAAAGAACTGTAATTTTATTTAATTAATCCATTACTATTACTTGTGATATTTAGTGTACTTGTGATATTTAGTAACCCCCGCTTTGAACACTCATAATTTTAATGCCCATCTAAAATAAATTATGTGCTGTATGTGTGTTTGGAATTCAGATTTACATACATGGTTACATGGTTGTTTTGAGCAATTTAGAAGAGCTTATGTTTGAAAACCATGTTAAGAAATTGAGATAAACACCAGTGCCTAATTAAATAAAACTATAAACTGTTTTGGAATATCTGTATTCATCTGTATTAATAAAAAATATACAGAAAATTTAAAGTTTTATTATACAGTATGTGTAGACTAATAAGTGAGAGTAACACTTTTGTATTGTGCCATTACAATATATCTGACTAACACTTTGGTAATATTTGCTAATAAATGCAAAATTTAATGAATTTTAATAAATGCTAGCATCATTCAGTGTTCCATATAACTTAACAATTGCATGGTCATTTTGGTGCTAATATTATGATAATTGGTATTGATATTGGTGCTAATATTATGATCATTTCAGTTGAAATAATAATTGAACAAATTAAATCATTGAAATAATTATGCAACTCAGCATTTACATGTTCCCTCTTGGCCACCTCCCGATTTTTAGTGTAATTCTTGTCTCCTTCCTGTCCTACAAGCCCACCTACACACTATGGGTGACAGGGCCTTCATTTACTATGCTCCAAAGCTTTGGAATTATATCCCCAAAAAATAAGACTCAAAACCTTTTTGAGAAGGGCTTTTATTTAATTATTCCTGTGTCTGCCCATTTACATTCCTACTGCATTCCAAACCCTAGTTGTAATCGCATTGATTCTGCTCTTTCCTCTCCTTGTGTGCTTTTTATATAATTATCAACATCTAATAATAATAATAATAATAATAATAATAATAATAACCTACTGTACTTGTAGATCTGCTTTACAAAGGCATCTCTGTTATTCTGCTGTTGCAATGCAAAATAATTTAAGTACAGCATTAATGCAGATAAAAGAAATACATATTAATTACTAGTATTAAAATCCTTCTTTTTCTTACCAGTTTGAAAGAAGTTTGGTGTTCCAGAAAAATCAAAATGATTTAATCTTTCGATGCAGTGGACATATATTCATAGGAAACACAAAGGACCAATCAGGAGATGACAGATAAAAAAGAAACTTAGTGAAAGTTTCACTTTCGGTATTGATTGTAATGTTTCCTTACAAGATGTTTAACCATTAAAAGCACCCTTCATTGTATCTCACTGTCACCACAGTCTCTAGCTTTGGAGATGCTTTAATAGTCTGTCCATTTCCAGGTCTGAAGTTTTTGTTTCATTTAATATTTCATACAGTTTATGTGTAACAATAATGGCAATTTTTTCTTTCTTACAGTCTTTCAGTGTTCCTAAATTTAATCCACTTTTCAGCCCTGACAAGGCACACCCATGAAGCATTTTAAGCACACATTGTTGTGTGATGGGGGTCATGCTATCTATATCATTCACACCCTCTACAGCCAGAGGGCGCTCCTACTCTGTCCTGTCTCTAGTTTCCTGTGCTTTGCTGTCCTTCTGGTGTCTTTCTCTCTGGGGCTATATATTTCTGGGTCACTCAGTCCCCTTCACTCAGCATTGACGTTCTGATGTCCTGAGACCCACCTAGCATCCAGGTCGCCCCACGTCTGCTGCCTGAGGGCATTGGTTTCTATACGACTAATGAACTGCTGAGCTCGGGCTAACCTCCGTTCTGCCACTATGCATAGGGTCTTTTCTCGCTCTCCTGCCATTCCATGGTTCGTCCCTTCCAACATCCGTGACAATACCAATGTGGATTATGGCACAGCTTTTAAACACTCTGTAACGCATACAGAACCAGGCACTGAGAACGCACAGCATTTCTTCCAATTACCTAAAAAATAATGTGTTGCATTGTGTTATGTAATTTATTGCCCAAAGATGATAGACAGGTAGCACTTGTGATGCATTAGATGTTAGTGAAACCATTGCTTCATTTAATCTGTTTCTCTCTGTGCATGCCAAAATCCACTTAATATGGAATATTAATATGGAATTTTACAAGTAAAGAACATTTTGGCAGTGGAAAATAAAATCGGAAGCATGACGTCATATACGGTATACCTAACGTACTTAGATTAGATGGTAGTGGTTGCTAAATATATTGAAAAAAAAACAAAGTACACAACAGTATTTCACCATCTTCATAAATATTTTATGCACCAAAGTCTTTAACTCAATAATTTGCAGTGGGTATTTTGGAAAATGTGCTTCTGCTAACTACTGTATTTATGAATAATTTATTTTTTAATTTACAGTTTATTTGTAAAGTAATATGTATATTGCATATAAAAAGTTATAATGTTTATCGTTTTAGAAGTATATTCCATAATCATTTAGGTGGGTAGCTGCGTCAGCATGCGTAGGCTGCAAAGGAACAAGTAATAGGTTTATTCCATGCTGAAAAGAGAAGAGAGAAAACACAACGTTTTGGCCATGTAGCCTTCTTCACAACTAAAGGTTCCATGGGCGAAACGTTGTGTTTTCTTTCTTCTCTTTTCAGCATGGAATAAACCTATTACTTGTTCCTATTACATAATAAGAACACTGTAGTTGTTGTAAATTGTAAAAAAAAAAGCTTGATGTATTTAGTTCCACTTGATATAGAATCTAAATCATGTAACACAATACATTTTTGCAGCTAAAAATATCACTTCTGGATATTTTGGAAACAATTTAATGTTTGTTAATCTATCAGTAAACAATGAGGACAAACAGACTACATGAAGGCTACCTGGTAAGTGTCTTCAATACATCTAGAGAGCTGTGCAGGCTGAAGAGCCCCCAGTGAGGCTGTGAGGTTGTTTAGTGTATTTTCTGCAGTTACTCACTTTTACTCGGTCAGACGTTCAGCTGTTTCTCCAAAACTGTATCAGACAAGCTTCCTTCTCTTGTCATTTTGTTTGGAGAAAGGATAACAAGATCCAGTTTTGAAGGGGTCTCTTTGTGTGCAAGAAAATAATTAGAATTATATGTATATATCATTAGTAGAGTATTTATGAAAACATTGACAATGTAAATGGACCCACTTCCATGGCCTTCCAACTCTGAGCTGTATCTCAAGTGAGATGCAGAAATATCAAAAATCTGTATTCTTCAGAAAAGCAATATTTCACAAATTGCAAGTTTATGCTTTCACTCTTTTTCCAGTTAACCAGTAAAGAAAAATGGGTTCTGAGATTGACATCCAACTTAATAGATAAAAACCAAATCACTAACACATGAATTTCTAAATGTCTAGTGTAAACTGTATGATGGTGGCACTGAACCGGGCACATTAGGATAACCATCTGGTATGGGTACAGTCAAGTTGTTGAGGCTCAACAGGTGAAACTTTGAGCTTTTCATTTTTAATTTTCAGCTTTGAATTAAACATTGCTCATTCCTTTCCTGTACAAGCACACTGATGCAGCTCCCAGCTCAAATGTCTTCATTCTGTGCTATGTTCATGCTATGACCTAAGTTGACATGGAAAAAGGCTCAGTAGCTGACAAACACAGGGAGGCGAAAACAAAGACAGGTGGAGATCTAAGATCCGGTATAAAGAAAAGAAGTTTAGCAAAGGTCAGGAATATAAAGCAATGCCTGACAAAGCCAAGAGAGGTATTAGGGAATACAAAGCTTGAGAGACACAGTGATGGAAATCCATAATGGAGACCAGAACACAATCTGAGCAGTCCTTAAATATCCCCCTGACAAGTGAGAAGTTACAAGTAAAAGGTTTATTCAGTTAACTGTCTGCAGGTGATCTGGGTCTCCTGTCAAGTGGTGCCCATGGCAACCAGTGCGGAGAGACTCATGGATTGAGTAGAGGCTGGCTGCCACTCCAATGATAGCTCAAACCACAGACCAGCAGCCAGAGTGACCACAACAGTCTTCAGCTGAATTAATAAGGATACTTAATAATTCAATCAAGCTATATAGTAAATAAGGAAATCTAATATTAGTATAAGCTATCCAGTGTGTCATTTACATGATTGTCTTTCGGGATGGGGATGTCCTGGGAGAGTTCATCTTTTAACACTGTCAGATGGATGTGCACCTTGAATCCAAGATATAATCATGAGACACAAGTTTGCTGATGTGAAGATGTAGCAGAGATGCATAATCTATATGATCCCTTGTAGCGATACTGTGTGCACACCACTATTGGAATGAAATAGGCTTCTGAATGTAAAACCTTTCCCAGGCACTATATCTTGTTATTATGTTTCTTTAGATAAATGGCTAAAAACATCCAGTTTTGAAGGAGTCTCTTTGTCTGTAACAAAATAATTAGAATTATATATAATTATATTACAATTAGAATATTTATGGACAATTGAAAATGTAAATGAACGCACTCCATCCATGGTCTTTCAACTCTGAGCTGTATCTCAAGTGAGATGCGGAAATGTCACCAATCAATCGTCTTCAAGAAAAAAAAACACAATTTGCATATTAAGCCTCACACCCTTTTGCCAGTTAAGTCGTAACAAACTCTGAGTCACTCCTGGTTAACTGGAAAAAGGAACAAGTTCATTTGAGTCTCACCTCCAGTGAGATGCAGAAATGATCCAAATCAATGGTCTTCAGAAAAACAATATTTCACAACTTGCAAGTTTATGCTCACACCCTTTTTCCAGGTAACCAGAGAAGAACAAATGTGTCTGAGATTGACATCCAACTTAATAGATAAAATCAAAATCACCCGTGCTTTAATTTCTTAATGTCTTGTAAATATCAATGCAATGAAAGACAATGCAGAATTTCTTGCTGGTATTGGTATTGTATCAACATCTAACAATAACTTTTTCACATCAAACTTTAAAAGTCTTGGCACATTCAGAGATTTATTTTTAAAAACACAGTTAAACTAAAACTGAAATTATGCAATCTGTGTGGTTTATGAATTTTGTTCTGTTATCACACTCTGTGAAGAGATTCAGATTGTAAAATGTAATCACGTGTCTGGATGTTAAAAACAGAACCAGTTGTATTTCTGTTGTCCTGAGAGCATTCTTGACAGCTGCACTCCAGTGTGAGTGCTCCAGTGTATCTATACCCTGTGAATGCTTTCCCCAGTCTCTCCTCTACACACCAAGTCTGTTTTTGGAGTACAAAGCACCTCATACATTTGTAAGCAGTGTTTGAAACGCTTCTCTTGTGTCTGAGATGCTGGAGGTGTGATTCAAACCAGTGAGCCATTCTGACCCCTTTAGTTTTCCTCCAATACCAGGCCTTCGGACTACAATAGACCCACTTTAACTTGAGCTTGGACATGTCCAGGTAACCAAGGACTCCCACCTGAATATTATTTTCACATACACTAGTGCATGTGCACCAACCAACACACTGCTGAACATGTCATAGAGGAGCAGGGACATTCCTATTTCATGATGTGTGCATCTACTGTACTCGCTACTAGAGTTCCATATTGTTGGTGGAATACAGAGTCTGGAATAATGGATAATCTAGGTCTCTAGAACCTCTGAACACTTATATTCACACACTTGTGTTATTATGAAATTATTTGTAGTTGTGTTATTTCAGTGATCATAAACATTTATATTACAAACAAATGAGATAGCATAGTCATATTTCAACAAAGTGTCAACAAGCATGGAAGGTCACATACTGTATATCTACATATTGTGAGCCACTTATAGAATATGTCTCCCTCCTTTTTCTCTTATAAGAAATTGTTTATATTTTGCTTTTTACCACTTTATCCAAATACACATTTGCTCAGACACCAAACAGATCAGGTTCAGATTATAGTGCTTACTTACATCATTAGTTAAATCATTATAGACCTTATCCAATGCATACGTATTAGGTATTGTCCTATACTATATGCACTTAACACACACAAGCATTTAGTACAAAATAGTTCAAACGTTATAAAAAATAAAAAGTGAAACATTAATCTGAGAAGATGTGAGAAAAAGAAGAATCTCTGCAATGCTTTACATGAGCTCAGATCGTAAGAATGAAAACCAGCTTGTTTTCATGAACAAAAGGTGGGAATTACTACATGTTGTACAAACAAAACCTCACATGGAAGG